ATTTCCACATTACAGTCCACCACTGAAGGAAGTCAGGACAGGAACTCAAACATGCCTGGAACCTGGAGGCAGGAGCTGATGCAGAGGCCAGGGAGAGCTGTTGCTTACCAGCTTGCTTCTCTATAGTTTGTTCAGCCTACTTTCTTATAGAACCATGGACCACCAGTCCAAGGGCATGGCACCACTCATAATGGGCCGGACTCTCCTCCATCAATCAGTAAGAAAATACCTTACAGATTTGCCTACTTATCTTATGGAGTCATTCCCTCCCTCCCTTCCTCTCTCTTGCCCTCTCTCCCTCCTTCCCTCCCTCCCTCCCTCCTTCTCTTGTTCTCTCTCTCTTTTTTTCAAGACAGGGTTTCTCTGTGTCACCTTGGGCTGTCCTGGACTCAATTTTTAGACCAGTCTGGCCTTGAACGCACAGTGATCTGCCTGCCTCTGCCTCCCAGAGTGTTGGGACTACAGACATGTACCATCAAGCTTGGCTTGGAGCCATTTTCTCAACTGAGATTTCCTCCTCTCTGATGACTCTTACTTGTGTCAAGGTGACATAAAACTATCCAGCACACTGGGTTACTTGAGACCCTATTAATAAACAAAACAAAACAAAACAAAACAAAACAAAACAAACCAACCAACCAAACAAACAAAAAACAGGGTCAGGGAGATGGATCAGTGCAAAATGTGCTTGTTGTGCTAGCATGAAGACTGGAGTTTGAATATCAGAATACACTTAAGTGCTGTATGGGCATGTTTGTAATTCCAGACTCAGGAGGTAAAAAGGTAGAGTCAGAGCATCCCAGAGTGAGCTGGCTGGCTGGACTTGCTTTATCCTTTATCAGCACACTCTGGGTTTAGCTGAGAGACCTTACCTCAAAACAAATAAGGAAAGTGAAGAGTGATTGAGAAAGACTACTGATGTTAACCTGGGACTCCCACACGCATGAACAAACACCTTCTCACACACATGTACACACACACACACAACCACTAACAAAACCAAAACTCTTGTTATTTGCTTTCAAAAGTATTAAAAACGGGGGCTGGAGAGATGGCTCAGCAATTAAGAGCACTGGCTTAAGACCTGGAAGCGAACCCAGGTCCACTTCCAAAGGACCTGGGTTCAATTTCCAATACTCACATAGCAGCTCACAACTGTCTGTAACTCCAGTTCCAAGAGCTCTTATACACTCACACCAATGCACATAAAATAAAATTAAATAACATTTTAAAGAGCATTAAAAATGTTTCCAAGCTCTTTTTCATAAAAAACCTCTCATAAAACTACCTGAGATGTGAAGCTGACCGGGTTTCTTCGAATTCAAAGAAAAGTAACGATTACACAGATCCCACTCCACCCTCAAAGAATTCCTGAGTTCTGGTGTCCTGGGATGACAGCATAAGGGAAGCCACACATTTGACAGTTAAGAAAACTGAGCCTCGATAGTGGCAGCACAGGACTCTATGTTCGTGAAAAACTCCCTTGAAGATTGGGAGCTAAAGTCATCCCCAGAGGCTCAAAAACCAAGACCACACTCAGCCCTCAGAACTGGAAGAAGTCTTTGGACCCTCTCCCCCCCCCCCCGCCCCCCCGTTCTGATGGAATTGCTGACCTTTTCTCCTGGCTGAAGAGAAAAAGAGAAAAAAAGAACAGACTTCTGGAAGGGCAAGTATGAGCTGGTATGCTGGCTGTAATCCTGGTATTTGGGAGGCTGAGGCAGGAGGATAATTTCCAAGCCAGCCTGGGCTATATAGTAAGACACTGTTTCAGAAGGAGGATGAAGGAGGAAGAGGAGGGATAGGAAAAGAAAAGGAGAAAAGAAGTAACTAAGAGGAGGAGGAAGTAAAGTCAGCTGAGCCCATTCTATGGCATCTCTATGGCCACTGTGGAAGAGCTCCTATACCAAGAACATGGCTGGGACCAGTGACAAGAACTGAAATGGTGTTCACACAAACAAAAGAGCTTTGTGGTCTGGGTGGACTCTGATTATGACCAGGCACAGGGACATGACAACTTGATTTTCCTCTGAGGGAATGGCAGCTTAGTGCTGATGTGTCAGCTTCATCATTGTGCAAGCCCTCCTCCGCCTCCTCCTTCCCCACAGCTATAAGATACACTGTGAGATGAACACTCATTCTTCTTCCTCCTTTGTAACATAACAATATGGATGTTTATAAAGCTTCTCCTTGCCTTTCAAAGTCAATACAATTAAAGAACAATGCATCTTAATTGCCAGCCCTCTAGCCTTGTGCAGAGCAAATGGCAGCCGTCCCAATTAAAACAAGTACAGGCACTGAGCTTCGGCAGGGTGAGACACCAGGCTGGGACTTCTGCAAAAACTGCCCCAGACATAGCAGAAAACAATTTGCATTGAAGGTGCCTGCTTTTCAATGGTGCCTTTGCAGGCTCTTTACAACTGTTTTTATATCCATCATTTTCTCGCCCACAGTTTTCCAGAGGCAGGGGGAAAGGCGATTAAATCAGTCTTTCCAGAGGAAATAGTACCCCAACAAACCATGTCAAGAGGTATAGAAGGCAACCGCATGGAGCAGGCGCGGCACTTCGAAGGAGACCGAGACAGAGGATCTTCAGTTTGAGGATAACCTGGGCTACACAGGAAGACTGCCACCAACAATAAACAAACCAAAAGACAGAATCAACTGTCTTATAGTTTGACATCTTCTTTGTCATCGTTTCGGAAAGTGGTTGTTGGCTTACTGTGAAAAGTTTATTTTTACCAGATTCACTCATTTTATTTTATGTGTATTTTGCCCACATATATGTCTGTGTGCCATATGCATGCTTGGTGTCTGTGGAGGTCAGAAGAATGTATCAGAGTCCCTGGAACTGGAGTTACAGAAGGCAGTGAACTACTGTGTAGATGCTGGGAATCTGAACCTGGGTCCTCAGCAACAGCAGCAAAAGTTCTTAACCAATGAGCCATCTCTCTAGTCCCCCAAAGCTGGAATTTCTCTTTCTCTCTTTTTTATTTCCTGGAGACGTGGTTTCTCTGTGTATCCTTGGCTGTCCTGACTCCCTTTGTAGACCAGGCTGGCCTCAAACTTACAGAGATCTTCCTGCCTCTGCCTCCCTAAGTGCTGAGATTACAGGTGTGTGCCACTCTGCCCAGAAAAGTTGTCATTTCTTAAGAAAATATTTTGGCCCAGTGAGATGGCTCAGTAGAGGCACAGAAGATCTGAGTCCAGTCCCTGGATCCACCCAGTAAAGGGAGAGAACTGACTCCTGCAAATTGTCTTCTGACTTCCACACCCACTGTGTGCTCTTGTATTCAAACACACATAAAATTAAAATGTAGAAGAGAAAATATGGTAATAATAGCTTTTGCATTGGAAGGGAGAAGTATTTAGCGAAAAGACAGTACATACCCAAAACATGGGTGCAGGTTTCTCGAGAGACCCGCTCGTAGTCTGGTCTAAGAACGAAACAAGCCAGATCTAGCAAGGGCTCGTTAAATCAGAGCTGCTGTTTGTGCACCGCTCTGAATGCACAAAGTGCTGCCACAGACGGTATTTTCTCTTGACTGAAATCCGAATCATCTGGCTCAAGCCCAGATAGCTGAAAAAGATTTAGAACGATGGGCACTGTCCAGTAGACGTTCCTGAACGCAGCCCAAGGAGGCTAGTCTATGGATTATGGTTTTCCCAGCTCCCTCTAACCGCTGCTTTAGCTGAAAAGTTCCTCCCCTGGGAAGAAGAAACTCCCCCACTTTGGAAGTGTGAACTGTCCTTGGTCTCTTTCATAACACCAGGCAGAAATATGGAAATTGTTACCCATGCTTCCCCGTTCCACCTTCCCACATCCAAATGCTGCCACTGGTACTTTGCAGAAAAGCCAGTGGAGGATAGGAGGTCAGGGAAATAAATGTCGATTTAACTGTTGCCTTATGAAGCAGGGGTAACTCTTTCAGGGCACCAGAGTGAGTCACAGCTCTGTCTCTGCCCCCCCCCCCCCCCCAGCTGAGTTTTTCTCATCTATAAAACCAGGCTATACAGGTAGGCACTCTAGGGCACTGTAAAAGTCCAATAAGTGTTAGGTGGTATTATTATTATTATTATTATTATTATTATTATTATTATTACCATCAAAGATCTCTTCTGTTACACCAAATGGGATTCTGTTCCTGAGTGAGGACAATGGCTTTGTCTCCAGGTGGCCAAGCTTCAGTTCCTCAGCCAAGTTCATGGAGGGCATGGCCAATAGTTCAGTAATGATTCTCTTTGTTGAGGTAGGGGTTCCTCGGACCAACGGTGTTGGGGCTCATTGTGGCTCCTGTGTAGGAGGGACCCCGTCTCTGAACCCTTTTATAGACAGGTGCACAATCTCTCATGAAAGTCAGCTCACTCCATTCGGAGGTGCCATAATTAGCATCCTTTCTCTCTTCTCCTAGTTTTTATTTAGCCTTTCTCTGCGCCCCCTCCCCTTTTACTTCCCCTTTCTCTTCTCCCTTCCTCTTTGGCCTCTCAGGTCCTACCACTTCCAAGAGCCAGGGGCCCTTTTCCAGAAGTTGCTGTCCAAAGTCAGTCACGGAGGGCTGTTGGGACTCCTCGGCCTGTAGTGATGTAACAACTTTGTAACTTTTGCAGGATCTATTTGAAGTAACACCTTTTCCCCGGGCCTTCTGGTTCTCTCATCCATCCATCCGTGCAGTAGGTTTCCATTACTGACCTCGCCAAAGATCAAATGAAACGTGAAATGGGCTATTCTGAAGCCTCAAGGCCCAGATGGGTCGATACGCAAGCCAATGGCAGAGCTGTGGCTCTGTGAAGCGAAGCACACTGGCCTAGTTCCTTGCTGGAGACCTTCTGTCTAGAAGCAATCCCTACTACGGCTGGTTGGAATCCAGCCAGCCCAGCTTGGGCCGGCGCGGCCGCTTTAAGAGAGGGGCGGGGCCCAGCAGAGGCGAGGCAGGGCCTGCCCACAAAGCTGCTTTTTCCTTTTCGATCCATTCAAAAATTACTCATTGCAAATTCTCGGACAGCTTCAGGGAGGAGAAGCTGGGGCGCGGAGGACAGAAAAGGCTGCGGCGGCGCAGCTCTGGGATTCCCGGGCCCCGCGGGTCGAGGTCGGACCCGCCGCAGCCGCCCGCCGGCGCCGAGCTCCGGTGGCCTCTCCAGGAAACGTCAGTCTCCGCCCGGGGATCTGGGAGCACCGCCCCCTCCGACCTCCCGGGACCCCCGGCTCCGGCGCGCGGGCGATGGGCGGCCGCTGAGCGGGCGCTTGGAACCGCGACCCCCAGTTCTCGGCATGGCAGCGCGAGAAGAGCTGTACAGCAAAGTCACCCCGCGCCGGGACCGCCTGCAGCGCCCGGGCACGGTCAAGCATGGGTCGGCGCTGGACGTGCTCCTGTCCATGGGCTTCCCCCGCGCCCGCGCGTAAGTCACCGCCTGGGCCCCGCGACCCTCGGCTTCGCTCCGGCTCGCAGTCCTGGCGTTGCCCGAGACCTCCTTAAGGGGACACGGTGGGCGCGCTGCGGGGCGGGAGCGCTGGGCTAGAGGCTTGCTTGGGGATGCTGGGCGGCCAGGGCATTGGATTCGAATCCCGGGCTCTGCTGGCAGCCCTCGGCATTTCGCGCGCGCGCTCCCCAGAGGTCTCTTAATACTAAGCCAAGGGAGAGGTGGGTCCCTTGGAGGACTCGGATCCCCTATCCATCCAGAGTACCGAGCCAGTTTTGTGGGCTGGGGAGGGTGTGTGTTTGGTGGGGGTGTTCTTTTGGTGGCTGGGGAAAGTCGAGGGGCAGCGGGGCAGGGTGGCCGGCGCCCCCGCTGCAGCGGCTTCCAGCTCCGGATGTCGCTCTTGAGCTCCGGCTCTCTCCGGAGTGGGAGGAGCGGGAGCGTGGGTGTCACTGCGTGTTCATTGATAGAGAGGATGGAATGGGAAGGAGAAGTGATTCCTCCAGGGGACCAGGGTTCTCGTCAGTGGTGACGGCAGCGTAGAAAGCTGTGGGTGCTCGAAAGTATGGGGCGCGGGGTGGGGTGGGGGAGCTGCCTTCCTGCCTCCTCCTTCCTCACCGAGGGTGGGCTGGGGAAGGGCGGAGAGCGCAGGTGGCTGTCGCTGTAGTCTTCCGGGAAGAATCGGGTTGCCAGCGCAGGGCTGCAACAGCGGGAGTCTTTTGGAGCCCGTGCACTCCAGTGCGAGGGGCTGGTGCCTCGCCTCATGGAAAGCCGGCGCCGTTAACTCCTGGCCTGCTGGTTTCTTCCGTGGGGACACAAAGTTCGGGATGGTGGCAGGTGCCTGAATTGGAGAGTTGTGCGAACTTAATCAGAGAGGGTCGAGTCAGTAAGTTCCCTCTTTCCTCCACTCTCATTCAGGCGTGACTCCAGGTGTCTTCCTGGGAGCCTTGTACTGACTTGGCTGCAGTCTAAGGAAACTAGACTCCTGTTCAGGAATGTATCATCCCACCCAGCCTGCTAGGACAGGCTTCAGCGTTGTTTGGCCCAGCCTATGAAAGGCCACAAAGTGGACCAAGATTTCTTCTTCCTACTGACTTAAAAACACTCAGCACAACACAGGGAGACCGACGACGTGAAGGGTTCTGCAGGGGGTGCCAAGTGAGGGTCCTTCATGGAAGCCCTGAGGATGGATGGCACTCTAGGGCCCCTGTGGGGACCCGAACAGAGTCCAAATGTAGAACTTACATAGTTCCAGGCAGCTGCCATTTCTGAAGTGGGACCACTGTCAAGGACTCACGTTGATTAAAGGAAGAAGTGCTTCGGTGGCCTCTTTAGATTTTCATATTTGATATTTAGTGGGCTTTAAGAGAACAGACTATTTCCTGCAATGGGCCTCGGAGGCCTCGTGCTCAGGTCATCACTGACTAGGATGATGGCCTGATTAGGTCTTGCTTAATTCCTGAGGCCTCACAATAGCAAGATTCCTGACTACACACAATCGACAGTTGAAAACACTTTATTTTCATCACTCAGTGAAGACATACTCCATGCCTGTCTTATGACCTGAAGAGCTGGGCCTTAAAGACATAGTACAACATACTGAGGGTGACTGCAGCTAGAGGGAGAGCAGAGAATCAAACCAGGCCCTGTGTCTGCCATGCTAGGCCTCACAGGAAAAAGCTGTGGAATGCCCCACGGATGAGAGGCTCAGAATTTCCCTGCACACAGTAGGCAGGCGCTAAGTGGTAGTGACATATTTGTTCCTTTTGGCTGCTGGAACAAATGGCTGCAGGCTGGCTGGCTTACGTCAACAGAAATGCATTCTCTCCATATTCTAGCAGACAGAAGTTCAAAGTTGGTATCCCTGGTATAAAACTGTGTCAGTGAGGTTGTCCCTCTCTCTCTCTGAAGGCTGTAGGGGAAAATCCATCCCACTCTTCCGCTTCTGGTGGGAATTGGTTGTGGCTAGCCCATTTCATTCCATCCAGCCTGTACCCTTAATTGTCTTTCTTTTTTCACCAAATCCTCTGGGTGTCTCTTATGATACATGTGGAAAACAGTGTGTTGGTGTTTGTGTGTGTGTGTGTGTGTGTGTGTGTGTGTGTGGGCGTGTGTGGCCTATTTGTGCATGCGGAGGTCACAGGACACCTTATAAAAGTCTAGCTTTGTCCTTGCACTATACGGGTCTTAAGGACAAACTCAGGACATCAAGCTTGATTGCAAGCACTTGACATAATCCTCTCGAGCCCCACCCGTGTCATCATCAATGGCAGGATTCTGTTATTTGTTATTTTTTTTTTTTTTATGGCTTAGTAGTGTTCCACCAATGCATATCACTGCCCTATGGTCCTTATGGGTAATTCAGAATAATTAGTCATGTCAAAGTCATCCCTGAACTTCATAATATCATTCTTGTAAAGTCTTTTCTTTCTTTCTTTCTTTCTTTCTTTCTTTCTTTCTTTCTTTCTTTCTTTCTTTCTTTCTTTCTTTTTGTCGTGTAATAGTGTTTATAGGTCTTAGGGATATAGATGCACACCCATACTCCCAGCACTCAGGAGTCACTGGCAGGCAGATCTCTGAGTTAGAGGCTAGCCTGCTCTACAGAGTGAGTTCCAGGACAGCCAAGGCTACACAGAAACCCTGTTTCAAAAAAACCAAAGGAAATGAAAAAGACATAGATATTGTTTAGAGAGTCATTATTTAGCTATTTTCTGTTGCTTTGCTATTTCTATTTCTGTTATTGCCTGTCTTTACCCAAGAGGAAACAGAGAGGGTCTGAGGGAGGGAGGAGGGGTTTATTGCTCTATTTCTCCTAAAGGGGGCTGGTGTTGTCTTGGTGTCATCTGATCAAATTCAATGCCCTGAGAAGGCTTTGCTTTGTTGTTTGTTTTTGTTTTCATTTTCACAGGGTCTCTTATAGCCCAGGATGGCTTTTTAACTCAATATATAGCTGAAACTGGCCTTGAATTCCTGACCCTCCTGCTTTCTTCTACCTCCAGAGTAGTAGGATAAGAGGCATGTGTCACCATACAAGGCCCCCGAGGAGGCTTGAGTTGGGTTCCCTGCCCTACCCCAAAGGCACAAGTGTCTAGTATTCGCTCAGGTCAGCAAGAGGCAGCTATTCCAGATAACAGAGAGCAGGCATTTTTCTATCTTTGTGTGGAAAACTGAAGAGGAAGACTGCAAGACTCACCTGACTAGAAACACTTTCTGGAGCCTCTAGCCTGGAGGGAGGAATGAGCAGGAATGAGCAGTGTCGTCCCTTGGCTCCACAAGAGTCTTGATGTAGCATATGAAGAGACCCATCCAACCTTCTGGATAGCTGAAGCTGCCTAAGCTGGGCTCCCTGGGTGTAACAGGGTCTATTGTCCTGGGACAGGGACTGGACTCTGATGGCTGCAGAGAAGACAGGCCAGCAGACCAGGGTCCCATTCTGATCTAGTCCATGCCATGCTGTGGGCCTGAGGTTGACTTCACCCGAGGGCCTTGCTGAAGCTTGCTCCGGGAATGCTCTTAATGAGCCCAGCTTTGTTAAAGTTCTTGATGGAGCTGAAAGCAGCAGACTGCCAGGCCTGGCTAACCAGAGTGACCTTGGGGTATGTTCTCTGTGGCTCGTCACTCCCCTCAGGGCTTTGCCACCCCACATTAGCGTCAGTTCAAGCTGTAGAAGGACCTGTGTGGTTCTGTTGAGGAGACTGGTGGGACAGAGAGGGGGAGAACGAGATGACAGAGATAAGTTAGGGACTCTAGAAGGAAACTTTCCAAGGCTGTGTATGGCTTCCTTTTTCTTTTTATGCTCATTAGCTCTTTGCTGGCCTAAATGTTCTGAAAATAGAAATCTGGCTTCCTCCAGGCTGGTGAGGTTGGTCTGAAGGAAAAGGAAAAGTCATTGGTGGGCAGAGTTATGAGGCTAATGAGGCTTCAGGGACCTGAGTGGTCCTGAGGAGAATGGAAGTGGCCTGTGGCTGTACACACCAGACTTCAGGCAGGGCCATCACCATCTGCATGTTGCCCCCTGCGGCTTCAGAGGACAGATGCTCTTGGCTTGTTTCTAGGGGTCAACTGTGGGCCTTGGAACAAGTTACTGAGGGCTGAACTTAAGGAGTCTGCCCATATAACCCTGTGCTATCCTTTTACTATTTCATTTGTTTATTTTAGTTTTGAGACTTTGGCTGTCCTGGAACTCACTCTGTAGACCAGGTCGGCCTATAACTCACAGAGATCAACCTACCTCTGCCTCCCTGGGTGCTGGGATTACAGGAGTGCACCACTACCGACTGACAGCCTTGAACTCTTCTGTGCTGTGATCACAGGAAGATAGACTACAGTTGGCTTATTTTTGGTTTTTTTTTTAAGGTTGACTGTGGCTAGAATATTGTTTGTTTACAAAAAATAATGGCTTGTATGTATTTCCTAATGACTGGAGAGAGAAAGAGAGAAAAGAGGGCCTTCCCTCCACAAATTCTGGGTTCAATCCCCAGTACTATGACAGAAACAAATACCAAAACACGAAAGTCTTGGGAGGGACCTGGCATGAGTGTGACATCCCAGGTTCTAATCCAGGGTCTACCTGAAACTTGAATCACCTACATTCCCCTTGAGCCTCTTTCCCCCAGCGTTGTGATCAGCTCCTCTGTACAGCAGTGCCTGCCCTGTTAACGTGGGCAAGAACTTGGGACAGTAGAGCCTGGACACTCACTGTTATTTTGGTAATACTGTGTTACTGGAAGGAGACGAGGTAGGGGAGGGGTACTGGTGGAACGACAGGTGGGGATAGCTGGGCAGGATGGACTTGTTTTCCTCAGCTGAGAATATTTGAGCTCTGTCTAGTTAAAAGAGCGGGACAGTGGCAGAAGGCTGGAGTAAAGCGCCTGGGACTTGGCTTCAGGCAGCAAGCTTGAGTTAGCTACACCTCACTGCTCAGAGATAAAGGCAGCCCAGAGTGGCTCCACCAGCAGTTGAAGGACAACCTGCAGGGCCAT